AACAGAACTCTGCTGTTCCTTAAAAAAAAAAAAAAAAAAATCCCTAAAGTTATAAAACTGATATTGTGATCACACAAGCAAAAAACTAGCTTAAGTCTATGTGTAACAGTTAGTTACCTTTCATCTTTCAGCCAAATTTCATCCATCTTTTCTTGCCACTTCTCTGGTGGTGCTTCGAGCCAGGCATTGAAATATCTAACAATGCCTGGGTGCTCAAGCTTGGCTAAGGCTTTAACTTCTCGCATTACCTTTTCCCGAGCCAATTCCCTGAAAGAGAAAAAATATTTAAGGTGATGGATATTCCAATTACACTGATTTGATCTTTACAAATTATGTGACACGTACCCCTAAAAAACATAGATGCATTATATATTAATAAAAAAGGAAAATTAAAAAAATAAAATTAGCCTAAAAAAAAGAGAAAGTAAGACAACACTGAAGCCTGTTTATATCTGAAGTATTCGTATCCAATAGTGAAAACAGAAAAGTAATAAAATAGGATCCCTTCTTGAAACTAAAATTAGAAACATATGAGTTAGCCTAGGGTATACTTCTTTTTATTTTTTGAGATGGAGTTTTCCTCTGTTGCCTAGGCTAGAGTGCAATAACGCAATCTTGACTCACTTTCCTCTGCCTCCAGGGATCAAGTGATTCTCCTGTCTCAGCCTCCCAAGTAGCTGGGAATGCAGGCATGCACCAACATGCCCCACTATTTTTTTTTTTTTTTTAATTTAGTAGACAGGGTTTCACCATATTGGTCAGGCTGGTCTTGATCTTCTGACCTGAGGTGATCCACCCATCTCTGACTCCCAAAATGCTGAGGTTACAGACCTGGACCACTGTGCCCAGCCAGCCTAAAGTATACCTCTAAAAGGCCACACAAAAAATATTTCAAGTATTTCAATATTCAAGTATTTCAGTTTTGTTTTTTTTTTCCTTCTGGAAATAAATGCTACAAGTGCATCTACTGCACATGCAAATGAAAGTTTTCTTGGCTGACTAAAAACGAATCATTACAGACTCTTAAAGATTATTGCTTAACATTTGTTGTCAATGGGAGGACAAATAGGTATGAGTGAGATATTCAAAAGAGACCCTAGCATCTTCACTCAGGAACACGGAGAAGGTCCACTCCAAAAGCATACACATTACAACCTCATAAGCTTGTACTAAAATGTTGTTTGTATAAGCCTCAACTATACAATATCATAGGCAATGAAATTTTAACTAGAAAGGCATCTGGATTTTATCTTCTGCTTTGACAACTTTTCTGATGGACCTAATCTCACATTTCTAGGGATCCCACCATCCCCTGAGCAACACAAATAAATGCAAATTGCATCTATTTCCCTCCCCATGAGAACATCAGCTACTCTGATTTTTTTCCTCTGTGCTTTGTTATTGTTATGAATGTCCACCACTCTCTCATTCTAAGAATCCTAGCACATTTCTAAATTAACAACTTCTAGGTACTCACATTCAGTTACCAAATCCTATCAGCTCCTCCTTTTCAATTCCTTACACTCAATTCTTACTTTAGGACTAAACTGTTGCCAAAAAATCTAATGAACATTCCTGTCTCATGTCCTTTCCTTGCATCAGCCATCTACACGCTGCTACCAGAGTCACCTCCACTTTGATCACATTGCTTTTTCTACTCAAAGACCCAAATGTCTACAAAATAAGATACCAACTTATTTGCTTTTTCTACTCAAAGACCCAAATGTCTACAAAATAAGATACCAACTTATTTGCTTGGCATTTTAGGTGCTACAAGTTCTTTTTTTTTCCCTGAGACAGACAGAGTCTCACTCTGTCACCCAGGCTGGAGTATACTGATGCCATCTCAGCTCACTAACCTCCACCTGCCTTTTAATAGAGATGACATTTTTGTCATGTTGGCCAGGCTGGTTTCCCAACTCCTGGCCTCAATTGATCCACCCACCTAGGGCTCCTGAAGTGCTGGGATAAGCATGAGCCACTGTGCCTGGCCAATCTATCTTTTTCTTCCTCTCTTCCATCCTCCCCCATTCTTACCCTTTGCTCCAGCTATTCCAGAACTCTCACCATTCTCCATACCACCTCCACGTGCTTGTGAGAGCCTTTGCTCAGGCCATTTAATGCACTTGGCCATCCCTCCCATACCTGTCTCCTGAGGGAAAGGCTACTCTTGCACACCCAGAGCAAATGCCTCCATTTCCACAAAGTTTGACTTCCTTACTGCCTTTTGGCCACATCCACTCTTCTTCATGAGAAGTTATTAATACTTAATTGAGATGAGACAAAGGTCAAAATCTTCCTTGCATTGTATTTACTTGAGTACACATACAAAAGCACCAAAAAGGTACAAGCTTCTTGAGGGGAGAAACCTTGCTTAGTTTTTATAGCCTATGTAGTACCTGGCACATATGAATATTTAAACTACTCAAAAGTTATTTACCAAAAGAAAAAAATTAGTTCCCTAGTACCCAAACCATCCAATTCCTGTCCCTCCCAGACAGGAATTTGAAAAAACTGTGACTACCAGATAAGATGATAGCACAACAATTAGCATGCATTTAATCAACAATCAACAAGAGGCCAGGCATGGTGGCTCATGCCTGCAATTCCAGCAATTTGGGAGGCAGAGACGAGTGGATCATTTGAGGTCAGAAGTTTGAGACCAGCCTGGCCAACATGCTGAAACCCCATCTCTACTAAAAATACAAAAATTAGCTAGGTATATTAGCTCACGCCTGTAATCCCAGCACTTTGGGAGACCGAGGCAGATGAATCACCTGAGGTCAAGAGTTCAAGACCAGCCTGGCCAACATGGTGAAGCTCTATCTCTAGTAAAAACACAAAATTAGCCAGGTGTGGTGGTGCACGCCTGTAATCCCAGCACTTTGGGAGGCCAAGGCAGGTGAATCACCTGAGATCAGGAGTCTGAGACCAGCCCGGCCAACATGGTGAAACCCTGTGTCTACTAAAAATACAAAATTAGCCGGGTATGGTGGTATGTGCCTGTAATCCTAGCTACTTGGGAGGCTGAAGCACGAGAATTGCTTGAACCAGGGTGACAGAGCGAGACCCTGTCTCAAAGATAAAAAAAAAAAGAAGCAACAAGAGCCTTCTACATAGATAGAATAAAAGGTATTGCTAGAAACCTATCATCTTAAGCATCACACTGCTCTGAGTCAGAAATCATACTTCTAGGAATCTATCCTAAGGAAACAGATATTGTCAAAATGTATATAAAAAGATGATACAGCACAGTTTTTTTTTTTTTATGGTAAAGTTATTTCTAATTGTAACAAATTCGAAACCAAATTGTCTATCAATACAAAATGGTTAAATATGGAATGTGTATTAAATGGACTATTACCAAGCTATAAAATACTTTTAATATATTTTAGAATATTGTTAATAACATGAAAAATATAGAGGATATGACAAAGAAAGCAACAGACAAAACTGTACAGTACTGGCGACTGGCTACCAATTAGGTATATTTATGACCAGAAAACAAAATCAAGGCCAGGTGTGGTGGCTCATACCTGTAATCC